CCTGAATGTGCGCTTCATACAAGGAGGCCAAGAAAATCGCATAATCATCCAATTCCCAGTCATGCAAACCCCTTCCGAAAGCGATGTTCCAGCTAGCACTCCCGTTATAAATAGCCATAGCATTACTCACCATAGCTGAAGGCTCCAAAGCAATGCGATGCAAAGAAGGAAACCGAGCTTTAAGCGGTTGATCTCCGCACCAACAATCACCCCAAAAATTGTCACTCGTACCAAACCCCACCACGAACGCCAGTCTATTCTGAAATTCACTCCATCTTTTCCTGATATACCTCCACAGGCTCACCCCATAAGAACCACGTCCTTCGCCCGAGCACCACCTCCCTCCATAACATCATACTTCACCCCTATGATTTCTCTCCAGAAGCTCTCCCTCTCCACTCCAAATCACCACAACCATTTGCCCAACAAGGCCTTGTTAAATAATACAAGGCTCCTCAATCCAAGACCCCCCACCCCAACAGGGAACAAACGTCTCCCTATTTGACCAAATGGAATTTCCTCTCTTCCCCCAACCCTGCCTAAAGAAAATCCCTTTGAATCCTCTCTAACCGATTTGCCATTGCAACGGGAATATGAAACAATGATAGAAAATAGGTTGGGAGATTAGAGAGAGTGGACTTGATGAGAGTAAGACGACCCCCTTTTGAAAGATAGATGCGCTTTCACCCCGCTAACCTCCTCTCCACCCTTTCAAGAATATCATTCCAAATTTGTGTACTTTTAAATTTCGCTCATAAAGGAAGCCCAAGATAAGACATGGGCAATTGTGCAACTCTACACTCCGATATAGCAGCCAATTCCTCCACATTAGTAACTTTCCCTACTGGAATAACCTCAGATTTCCCCAAATTTATCTTCAATCCCGAGACAGCTTCAAAGCACAAAAGCAAGCGACGCAAATTCCTAAATTGCTTAACGTCTGCATCACAAAAAATCAGTGTGTCATCTGCAAATATTTTAGTGTTTATTGGTTCAGATAAATTATATACGATACATTAACATTCTATCCAGCATTCTCATGTAACAAATAACAACACTGAAGGGAAGCACACATGGTGTTCCTTCATAACTTATTAATGCTAGGAACTCTTTATTTCTTTTTCCTCTTATTATTCTGTATGCTCTCTGCTGTTCGTTAGCTTTAGGTCCAGTATTCCTCACTGACCTTTTATTTTGGTTTATTCTTCTTATGATTTGTTCTTCTCATGCCAGAGGTCCTTGGGGTGCACTTTCTCCAATTCCAGAAAACAATGCAATTGCAGTTGATTCTCAGGTTTGCGATTTTTTACTGCCGTGTACTATCTATCAAGCTGTTTTTATGATGTATGTTATTGAAGATCTTATCAGAATATGAGTGACATTTGGAAGTTTATATGTTGGGAGATTTCAAGGTTTCTACAATTCTTGTAACTTGTTTACTGGAGATGTAAACGGACAATAGCTTACTGTTCTCGTGTTCCTGATATATCCCATTGCTCAGGAAGTACACCTTCCTTGAACTTCGTCTTTCAATCTTTTTGGATGCTCTAAGTAAATCACAAGTAATGTATTCCCTCGACTTAACGGGCCCTAGTTAATTTACAAGTGTTGAGATCTGTAAATTGAGCATCAAAAGAGTCAATCCAATTTTCTCATATATATTTATAGCTGAATAGAACATTGGACCTGCACAGTAGAAATTGGCATCTTCATGAAAGAGTAATTATGAGAGGATATCCATCAACAGAATAAATCAGAGAGTTTAGAAGAAATATTGTTGTACTGAGTTATGCTCATGACCCTTTGAATCCTGTCAAGTCAACTGTACGCACAAATTATGCAGTTAAGAAGAAATATTATTGTGCCAAGTTATGCCGTTGGGCCCTTGTAAGTATGTGGTTCTAAGTTATGCTCATAATTTTGGATCCTTGCCTAGTGAGAGTGTTGGGAATAAGGCATGAGATTTTTGTGCTTGCTAGCTGCCCAGCAATTACTAGCTCAAGTTCTTAATATTAAGTAAATAACCTGCTTTTTCTTTGTTCTTGCTTGAGTTTTATTTAGGAATGACTTCACTGTAAATTCTTGATTTTATCAGTATACATTAGTTTGTTATTCTTCATTGGTTTCAGGGTGGATCTATATATGCAGCTGCTGGTGATTCTTGTGCATATTGCTGGGATGTGGTATGTATTAGCTGAAGGTGACTAACATTTACTAACACATTTTGCTGGAGTTTGTGTGATCTTGCTTTATTTCAA